TGCACGAAACAAAGACTCGCAGGCAGACCCCTGGGGCGCGGGCTGGGCCTGACCTGGAGCGAGCGTTGGCCCTGCGCCACCTCGAGAGATGGCAACTTGAGCCAAAATGGCTTGAGCCAAAATGGCTCCGGAAGAGGAGGATGACGAGGTGTAGGAGGAGGAGGAGGAGGAGGAGGAGGAGGAGGAGGAGGAGGAGGAGGAGGACGGAGGAGGAGGAGGAAGAGAGGAGGAGGAGGCCGAGGAGGAGGAGGGAGGAGGAGGAGGAGGAGGAGGGAGGAGGGAGAAATGAGGAGGGATAAGGAGGGAGGGAGGAGGAGAGGAGGGAGGAGGGTGGAGGGAGGAGGGTGGAGTGAGGAGGGGAAGAGGGGAGGAGGGAGGAGGGTAGAGGGAGGAGGAGGAGGGAGGAGGGAGGAGAGAGGTGGGAGGAGGGAGGAGGGAGGAGGCAGGAGCAGGAGCAGGAGCAGGAGGGGGAGGAGGGGGAGGAGGAGGAGGAGGAGGAGGAGGAGGAGGAGGAGGAGGAGGAGGAGAAGGAGGAGGAGGAGGAGAAGGAGCAGGAGCAGGAGTAGGAGCAGGATCAGGAGGAGGAGGAGGAGGATGAAGGAGGGAGGAGGGATGAGGGAGTAGGAGCATGCGGAGGATGAGGGCCAGAACAACCCCCAGATGTGTCAACGATGCTTCGATGCTTCCATCTGTCCCAAGTCCCCTCTTCTTCCAGCCCCACAATGTTTTTTCAGGTAGGGAAGTGCCCCCCCCCCCACACCACACAGTCAGTAGACCCACTTGTTAGTTACGTTTTGACGAGGTGTGTCCGCTTACATCCCCAGGAAGGTTGTTTCCTCTTGGGCTCGACTTGACGGTTTGACGGTTTGAGGTCTTGAGCCGACGCGTATGAGATACCCGCCATCTGTTCCAATTAAGTTTGCGTGGCTATACTTTTGGTTCTTGCTTGTTTATCGAAGACACCTACGGCGAATCACCGCCGCCCCCTGCCTTTTTGGACGCGCCTGCGTTGCCGAAAGTTGGGTTTGAGCTTGGGCAAGCTATCGGGCCACGCGGTCCCCGATTGGATTTCGAAAGCTTTCGGGGAACACGGAGTTGGGCGAGCTATCGGACCAGGTGGTTTCCGAGCTTTCGGGTTTCCTGGAAGACGTCTTGGAGGGCTCTTGGGCCATCTTGGAGGCCTCTGGCGGGCCTTCTGGGCAGTCTAAGGCTATATTCAGGCCATTTAGGGCCGTCTTGGGTGCATGTTGGGGCCATCTTCGCCGTCTTGGAGACCTTCTTGGCCGTCTTGGAGGCATCGTGGAGGCAATCTTGTCCGTCTTGGATACCATCTTGGGCAGTCTTGGGTGCATCTCGGGCCGTCTTGGAGACATCTGGGGGCCTTCTTGGCCTCTCTTTGTGCCATCGTCGCCGTCTTGGAGGCCATCTTGGGCGTCTTGGAGGCCTCTTGGGCCGTCTATGGGCCCTCTTAGTGCCATCTTGGGGGCCTCTTGGATCGTCCTGGGGCCATCTTGGAGGCTTCTTGGGCACTCTTGGGGCGATCTTGATGAGCTCTTGGGCCGTCTTGGGCCGTCGGAAGGCCGACAAGGAGCAACAGCCAAACTCCTTCAAACAGCGGAGGACAAACAATGTGTTTGACCTCTTCGGGACGTCCTGGATGAACTCTTCGAGGCCTCTTGAGGCGTCTTGGAGGCCTCCTGGAGGCATCTTGCGCCGTCTTGGGCCATCGTAGGTGTTTCTTTAGCGAACTTGGAGGCATCTTGGACATTCTTGGGCCATTTTCGATGCCATCTTGGACCATCTTGGACGAACTTGGAGGCCATCTTGGGCCATCTTGACTATCTTGGAGGCCATCTTGCAGCCGCCTGGAGCCGAAATATCCCTTGCAACAATTTGTTGCGCATCTCTGGCTGGACGGGTCGACACCCCAGGGGGAGTTTTTTGGAAAAGAATCAAAACCAAAAGCGAAAGGGTCTAGCACGTCGGGCACCCCTGTGATGAATCAACAGGGGGCGGCGGATCGAAGACGCCTACGGCGAATCACCGCCACCCCCTGCCCTTTTGGAAGCGCCTATGTGGCCGACAGCTGGACTAGAGCTTGGCCAAGCTATTGAGCCAGTTGTTCCCCGAGTCAGTTTGGAAAGCCTTCGGGGAACGCGTGGGGGAGGAAGAGGAAGAGGATCAGAAGAGGGATGCTGATGATGATGAGGATGAGGATGATGATGAGGATAGATGGGGGGAGGAGGAGGAGGAGGAGGAGGAGGAGGAGGAGGAGGAGGAGAAGGATGAGGAGAAGGAGGAAGAGGATGAGGCTGGAAGAGGAGGGATAGGAGGAGGTGACTTCTTGGGAGCCTCTTGGGAGGCCTCTTGGGAGGCCTCTTGGGAGGCCCCTGCGGAGCTTCTCGGGAGCCTCGTGGAGGCCTCTTGGGAGCCTCCCTGGGCCTATTGCGGGTCTCTTGGGGGCCTCTTTGGGGGCCTCTTTGGCCGTCTTAGGGCCTTATTGGCCTGTCTGATGCCGTCGGAAGCCGTCTCTCACCACCCACCAAACCACCCCAACCCAACCCGAAGGCTCAGATTTACCCTCGATTTCCAGTGGGGGGGGGGGTCGGGAAACATAGAAAAAATACATGTGGAACCCTTACCCCCCCCAACCCGAAATTCGGGTCTTCGGGTTGGGTTGGGGTGGTCTGGTAGGTAGTCAGTCTCGGGGGCCTCGCTGGGCCGTCTTGGGGCCTTCTTGGGGCGCTTCGGGGCCGTCTTGGAGACCCTCTTGGGCGTCTGGAAGTCTTCTTGGGCCGTCTTGGGGGGCTCTTGGGGCCGTCTTGGGGGCCTCTTGGGCCGTTCTGGGGCCATCTTGGAGGCCTCTGGGGCGATCTTGGGGCGACGTTGGGGGCCTCTTGGAGCGTCGTGGGCCGTCGGAAGGCCGAAAAGACGCAACTTCCACAATCTTTCAAGCCAGATCAATACATGTGTTTGGCCTCTTCGGGCCTTCCTGGAGGACCTCTTGGGGGCCTCTTGGGCCGTCTTGGAGGCCTCTTGGCGGCCTCTTGGAAGCCCCTTAGGCCGTCTTGGGCCATCTTGAGGCTATCTTAGGCCGTCTTTGGGTGCATCTTCGGCCGTCTTGGAGGCGTCTTGAGGCCATCTTGGCTGTCTTGGAGGCCATCTTGTCCGTCTTAGAGGCATCTTGGAGGCCATTTTGGGTCATCTTACGCGACGAAGACGACGAGACAGGCAGCTGGCATGACGGGTCGAAACCCCAGGGGGAGTTCTTTTGGAAAAAGAACCTGAGCCAAAAGCGAACGGGTCTAGCACGCCAGGCACCCCTGTGGCAAGCCAACAGTGGGCAGCGTATCGAAGACGCCTACGGCGAATCACCGCCGCCCCCTGCCTTTTTGGAAACGCCTACGTGGCCGATCGTCGTGGCCAGAGGCCTGCCAAGCTATCGGACCATGTGTTCCCCGAATCGGTTTGGAAAGCGTTCGGGGAACGACAGCGATTGAAAAGTGTTTCGGATGTTGTTGGGAAAGGTTCACGCGCTTATTATCGTTACTCGTCGCGTTCAGTCCAACTACTTTCGTGTAGTGTTGTATGTGTGATTTGGGGATTTTGTGAGTTCATTGCGTTCCAGGGGTCTTCAACAACGGATCTTTCGTGGACATTTCGTGAACCTTCGAGGATCCTCACAAGCCCATGCATAATTCAGCCGAGGTTGTCTTCAGGCTGCTTGGAGGCGCTTCAGAGCCATGCTCGGCCAGAGACCGTCTTGAGATTTCTAGGAGGTCAGTCGGAGTCCATATCGAGTTATGCTCGGATAATTTGTGCCGTTTTGGAAGCAATCTGTTTTGGTGTGGCTAGTGCTCTCTTGGAGCTACCTTGCGCCAAAATGGACGAGTTGGACGGGGTGAGGAGGGTGCGGACGGGCGCGTGCAGAGCAGGGGTCCCACGAACGCTGGGGCCCTCTTGGGCCGTCTTGGGAGTCTCTTGAGCCGTCTTGGGGGTCCCTTGAGCCGTCTTGGGGCGCTCTTGACAGCCTCTTGGGCCGTCTTGGGGCGGTCTCAGAGGGCGTCTTGGGCCGTCTTGGAGCGTCGGAACCCGAGAAGGCGAGTGTGCCCAAATCCATCAAACACCTAAGGAACGTCGCAGATTGGCCTCCTGGGCCCCTCTTGGGGGTGCTCTTGAAGCGCTCTTTGGGGCCTCCTGGGGGCCTCTTGGGGGCCTCTTGGGAGCCTCTTGGGTTGTCTTGGGACCATCTTGGGCGCCTTGTAGCACTCTTGGGCCGTCTCGGAGGCTCTTCTACTGTCCTGGGAGCGTTTTATGAAGGATCATGGCCTCCAGAGCGCGAATATTACGTACTTCACGAGGGTTTGCGATTTCGGGGACGCGAGCAACGCGTAACTTTCGTGAGATCGTGGCTTCGGGTAGTATAGCCTCGGAGACGCGAGTTTTGTATGACCTACAATTACTCATTTATTCGGGAGCGCGAACATAGCGTTTGCGAGGGTGTAAGGCCTCGGGGACGCGGCTAATGTATCATTTTCACGGGATTATGTCCTCGCGGGCGCGTATATGGTGGAACTTGCGAGGGACTATGGCTTCGGGGGCGCGAATCTCAAGTATTCATGTGTGTCCCAGGACCCTCCCGAAATTCTGAGAACCCTCCCAGGTGAAGGTAACGAGGGCCCTTTTCGACTCCCCCCCTCGCGCGGGCTTCAACAGTTGACAGTAGGAAGCAGAGCACAACATTGTAGCATCGGAGTCTGGAAACTGGAACTGGAGCAGGGAGCAGCACGCCTACGCCGCGGAGATGGACGGCCCCGCAGTGGGGGCTGGCGGATCTATCAAGAAAAGAAATGGAGGAGGAGGAGGAGGAGGAGGAGGAGGAGGAGGAGGAGGAGGAGGAGGAGGAGGAGGAGGAGGAGGAGGAGGAGGAGGAGGCGTAGGAGAAGGGTCTGGAAGAGCAGGCGTCGTCGTCGTCGTCGCCGCCGCCGTCGTCCTTCGAGGTCAACGGCGCCGACGAGCGCCCCGAGATTCGACAGGCGTCCGCCAGCCCGCCGCCCTACGCGCGGCAGGGCCGCCATCGCTATCGCTGTCGCCGCCGTTGCCGTCGCCACCGCCGTCGTCATCGTCCCCAGATATCCGACGACATGTTCTTCTCAATCGAGGAGCTTCCCTCGATTTCGGCCTTCGGGGCCCGTCGTCAGGCCCTGGGGCCATCTTCCATTCGACTGGGCGGCGACGATCTGCCCCCACGGAGGCGGTCGGGACCTCGGACTGTGGATTCCGTCCGCGCGCCCGCGCTCACGCCCCGCCCGCCCGCCCTGCACGTCTGGGGTCCGCCCGCCCGGCCCGTCCATCAGGCTCCGCCGGCGGCTGGCCCGTTGGGGCCCGCCCGCCGGACCCGCTTGTCCTACTGTCGGGCCGGGCGAAAGGGGGGGATTGGGAAAGGGGGGGTTACGAAATTTGCTGCATGCAGCTGGTTTCGGCCTCACCGAGGGGCCCATTCCTCGATACATAGCCGCCTCCGGCGCCGGGAGGCGCCGGGGAAATCAGCTGCGTGAGCTGATTCTCAACCCCCCCCTTTGCTATCCCCCCCTTTCGCCCGACCCGATCCTACTGGCGCTGTTGTTTTGGTGCTGGCGGTATATTCTTTGAACGTTCGGGCCACGCTCCCGCCCGATGGTCCTTTGTTGGTGCTCAGGGCTCGTGCTTGTTGTGTCGCGTCGAAAAAACCGACCCTCCAGCAGCAGTAGCGCTCCCACCAGATAATTCATTGTCTTGTCTCAGGTGCGGCTCTCGCGCCTCTGCGCCGCAAGCCAGTCCTCCCGCAACAACAGCGGCTCCGCTCGATTCGTCCCTGCTTTCCACTCAGGAGTGGCGGTTGTTCAGGCCAAACGCCTGCCGCATCTCGCCACGCCTTTCTATGTCGGTTCGCGCCCGTCCTCTTGCCCCTCCTCTTCCTTCCTCCCCTCGTCGAGCGCACTGCGCAGTCCGCCCCGCGTTCGAACTTCTGCATCGTTTTTGTTTCCAGGCTGTCGTCCTCCCCCCCTCCCTACTCTCCCCCCCTGGCACCCTGGTCCTTCCACCCTCCTGCCACTTCCCTGTCGCCCTCCTCGCTCCCGCCGCCTCCACCTCGATTGCCTCCTGCTCCTCCTTGTCTCCCTTACTTTATCAGCGGGCGTGGCGTCGCCAGGTTGCTTTATTGATGAATCGATGCTCAAGTGCTGCCGCGCTGTGCGCTTCCAGTTGAGTCCCCCGCGCGCGGTGGAATTCCAAGGCGTATGCTGGTCTTTTTTGTGCTCGTTTCTCGCGCGGTCGTGCTTTGTCTTTTAGTAATTGTCGCGAACATTCCAGAGTTGTTTCGCCAGCGCGTCGTGCAGTTCACGTGCCGATGAGGTCCACATCGCCCTTCGAGCGATTCGCGCGCGACCTGCGCGCAATTCGCAAACGACCCGGGCGACGTACGCGCGACACGCACGCGACACGCGCGACGCGCGCGCCACGCATCCCGACCCGCGCGCGACGCGCCCCTGCCAGCGCGCGACGCACGCGCGACGCATGCGCGACTAACGCGCGACGCACGCGCGCCGCACTTTCGACATGTCCGCTGTAGCTGTACCCAGAAAAAGTCAAGCGCAAGGGTCGCATGCACGCCGTGCTTTCGCTGTTCACGAGTGCCGCCGGCTGTGTCCCCACTTGCGCTGGGGAAGACGGTGTTTCGCCCCTTCTCCCCTGCTTCTTCCTCCCTCGTCTTCTCCCATCTTTCGTCCTCCGTCTTCCTTCGTCTTCCTTCGTCCTCGCTCTTCTCTCCTCCCTCCTCCCCCTCCCTTTTCCCATTTTCTTCTTATTTGTCCTTCCTCTCTTTGCCTCTCCCCCCTCTCTCCTCCGTTGTTTGTCCTCTTCTCCTGTCGTCGTCTCGCTCTTCCTCTTTCTTCTCCTTCGGCTACCCCCCCCCGCGGCCGCGGCGCGGGTTCCTGAGCGGGACCCCCGCTTTCAGCGAGGACCCCCGCCGCTGGAGCAGGAAACGGGGGACTATGATGGGGGGGGAGGGACGGGGGGCAGGGGCGCGAGGCGAGCGCGGCGGCCGAGGCGGTCTGGCAGGGGAACACGGGGGGAGAAAGGGGGAAAACGAGGGGGCGGGGGCGGTTGTCATATGCTGTCATGGTGGTGTTGGTGATCGTGGTCTTGGGCGTGGTGGTCGAGGTGGTCGTCCTGGTGGTGGTCGTGCTGCCAGTGGTGGGCGGGTTGGTGCTGGTCACGTTGGTTCTCGTGCGAGTGGCGGTCGTGGCGGTACTCGCGAAAATCGTGGTGGTCGTGGTGGTGGTCGCGGTCGCTGGCTGTGTTTGTAATCTTCGCGGTGGTCGTGCTTTTGGTCGCGGCCGTTGGCGATGATCGTGGCGGTGGTAGTCATGGTGCTGGCGGTTGTCGTGGTGGCTGTGGCGGCGGCAGCGGGGACCTGCTGGCTTAGCGCCGGAGTCCGCTCAGCAGCATCACGACAAGACA